GTTTCCTTCTTACGTAAATTGCATAGAGGATTTATTTCAAAATAAAAAAAGTTTCCCGAACGAAAATGGACATCAAAATGAACTTCAGGGTCCCCAGCCAATATGGCAAACAGATGTGCCTAATAGGATACCAGAACTAATCTCACCTTAATCTTCAACTGCAGACAAACTAGGTTAAGCTCCTGGGACAGGCTTGATGATGCACAGAAAAGCATGCAGTTCACCAGTTTTCCTAATAACTATACCAAGAAAGAGAGCTTGTGACAAGTTTTAGTAAGTTGAGTTATTCCTGACAGCATGCTAGATAATTTAACCATACTGGGCAAGAAAACTAACCAAAGGAACAAAAGACAGAGTCTGTATCTCTGGGAAGTTCAAAACCAGGAGTTGAATACTAACTTAACAGTCGAACAGAGCGACTTTTGTCAGCAATAAATAGCAATAATAATGCAGACATGTAATAAAAAATTTTTAAAAAAAACTCTCAAACCATTCACTCCTACAGAGAAGGTACCAAGCAGCATTTGTTGGTATGTCAAGGCTTTCTAGGTCACTTGGAAGGAATCAATCACAACAGAATTAACAGAGATTTCTCTTTAATTATCAACAAAACAACTGTGCTCAAATCAGTCACAGCGATATCTGAAACAAAACGTTATAAAAAGTATAAAAAGCCTACATCAATTGGTTTGGAGGGCACAAACCAGGCTGTGCAAAAGCATTAAAACAGAACCAAACCACTGAAGATAAATTGAAATGAGTCAACTAAGCAATATACGAGCGGGAAAAAAAAAAAAAGAAAACAGGTCTTCAGGAATCAAATGTACTCATGTAATTGACATCATTTTTATACTATATTCTGATTTGCATCCAATTTAATATGTTGTTGTTTCCATTTCTGAAACAAAATGGCTGTTATTAATGCACATCCACAGTACGGGTATAACCGTGACGCACTTGTGGAGTTTTCTGTGTCGCTGCCTTGCCATCGTGCCATCCTGCCATCATGGTTCAGTCCTTCCAGCCTCGGGCTCAGGTCAGTCATGGCGGCTGTCTCCAAGATCCTCCATCTGCCTGCACGGACCGAACTCTATGGACTAGTTCGGTTCTACCTTGGATGTTCTCTGTCTGCCAGACCCGGTTCTGGAAGGCAGTCTGGAAGGTAGCTGCTGCGGTCATTATTATCATAAAGCTGCTAACAAGACCTGCTAACGCTGCTAACAAGATCCTCCATCTGCCTGCATGGACCAAGCTCTACGAACCTGTTCGGTTCTGCGGGGGAACCTTGGATGTTCTCTGTTTGCTGGACCTGGTTCTGGAGGACATTCTGGGAGACAGCTGCTGCAGTCATTATTATCATCAAGCTGCTGATGGGACCTGCTAACTAGACCTGCTAACGCTGCTAAAAAGACCATGCCGCTACCGAACCACACCGCTAACAGTATCATGCTGCTAACTGGATCCTGCTGCTAAGATAACCTCACTGTCATCAGAACCAGTCAGCCAATAGGATCATGCTGTTGTAGATTCATTTCTTTTTCACTTTTGGTACCTCGTTTCCGTTTTTTTGTTGTATGCTTTGAATAAATCCCAGTTTATGTTAGTTTTGGGGTTGGCTCTGAGACCAACTCCGCTCGCATTAGCATGTAAATTATAGCCGAACAGAACCTGAGAATCATGCTGCTGTTGGTCTGTGTATTGTTTTGCACAATTAGTGACTAACATATATCTTAGATCTTTTAGAGTACCGTTGCACGTTCGTTTAGCGTATATCTTAGTTTATATCTTAGATCCTTATTTACATTTTTTTTACACTTTATATTTTTGCTATTGTTGAATGTAACTGGGACCCTGTGTCCACCATTTCATTCTACCTCATGAACCACATGCGATGTGAATGACAATAAAGAACCTTGAAAACACCATCTATCTTCAAATATTGTCCTTGTTAATCTTTTGCAAGCAGAAACAGCTGACCCTTCCGACATTAGATTTACAATACATGCTTAAGGGAAGAAAAAAAAAACATCTCAAGCAAGTGGAAACGACGCACTAGCTTGAAGAAGTTTTGATGGTTTCCATCAACCTCCTAAAGGGTGACTGTAATGGTCACCACCAGATGAGCTTCGCATCTTTGAGATATCAGTCCAGTCCTCGCATGTCACTTTGCAGACAGTAAATCATTTAAAAAAACAAATATTTTCCCTCAGACAGGAAGTGACTTTAAGTTTCAACCACAAGATCCTCATTCTTAGGCGGTGGATTCAAATGGCTTTTGTGCAAGATGTTATTTCCCAGCAAAGACCAGTAAAAACAAACACACCCTGTTTGTGGAGCACAGTATAAGGCAAACCACGCGTGCAAGATGCAACCCCGCTGAAACCAGCTGATATACAGGCTTCAATCAAAGTCAAGGAATGGAAATAAGACAAGACTCGTGTTCACCATTTGGCCTCAGTCCTGCAGAGATTGGTAAAGATAATTAAGCCGTTAGATGTCATCCATGTTGACGGTCAGCTGAGGTAAAAGGAATTTCATTATCATAATATTCAGGCAAAAACACATACTGTGCATGCCAGGGATCACATGAACTACCAGGCAAACAGGAAGGACAGTCTAGTAGCTGACAGAGTATTGTGTGTAATTAGTCTATGCACACATAATGAACCAGTTGGAGACATCGCCTTCAAACATTACACAGCGTACCTTTCCTGGTAAAACAAACAAAAGCCTCGTGTCTCTTTTTTTAGATTATATTTGAAGTAATGATAGTAACAAAAACTGTTTTAACAAGAAGAAAAGCCAAAGTGGATCTACTGGCATTATCATCTCATGCACAATAACATAACTCCCACTCAGTTACGCTTGGCACACAAAGTCAGTCTTAGTTTCAGGAAAAAATAAAAAAAATAAAAGAAGAGATATTTAAATAAATAAAAAAATAAATACAAATTAAAGGTTTGTAATTTGTCTGCACAAGGTCTATGGATTTAGAAAGAAAAAGAAATCTAAAATGCAGATTTGTTCTGTGAGCAAGCCTAAAATCTCTTGTTAACACATGGGACCCACCAACCAACCACACCGACGCCGCCTACATTGACTGACAGAAATAAAATTGGAAAAAGAAAATTTCTGAGGAATCGATCGACGCACTGGCAGGTCACAGTCGCACGACCGATTTCAGTCACTCTAACGGGAAAGACACTGCCTCTCAGAGACTCCATTTTATTTTGGGTCAGAAGTAGTATTTAAATTGTGTTGCTGGGTCAAATAAAACCAGAGTTATGATAAATAATCCACGCCACATGTTTTTTCTGAACATCATAAATCTGAAGCGAGTTAGAGCGAGAGGCTGCAGCGAAGACGGCCAGTCTTAGAGATGAAACACCCCCATCACCCTCCGCTTTCACCTCCCACCGCCATCGAACAGATAATCAATCTCCCCCTTGTTTATGACTGAAGCCCAAAATTATTTTGTCAAGCACCAAAAAGAATCTAGAGGAAGAAGAAAGAGTTGAATGGAGTTCAGAGCAATTAAGAAAGCGATAGCAGGAGTGAGTCATGAGAATTGAGAGATTTGTGATATTTAGCTTGTTTGGGTTTTATAATATGGTGCAGTTCAGTGTGTTTGGCCATGGCTGCCTCAGACGAGTGGACGGGAGAGAGGGCGGACTCCAGAAACCATCTTATCACCATCAAACTGGTTGACCCACTATGTGAGTGTGCTGCTTATGGGACTGAGTTTGTTGCGGCTCCTCGGACTGATGAAGTCTTTTGGACGAAAGATGAAACGTTTCAACACAAAGAAGCCGTGTCCAGGGGACCTGACTTAACTTTGCTGGATGTCAGTTTTAGTGTTAAGATCAAAACAATCATGCGATTTCTAAACGTGAGGAAGGAGTTGCAGACCCAGAGGTGGACGGAGCTGCAGAGTCAGAACCTCTCAGACAGAAAAGAGGATCGTGAAGGCAGGGATGAAGGAGAAAACCAGAGTCTGAGTAAGACAATGAGGACTTTGTTGAAGTGGAAGATCCGTGATTAGTTTTAGAAGAAGAAAGAAAGGACAATTTTTATATCGGCTCACTAGACGTTCCTCCGCTTTTATATTTGAAAGCTTCTGTAAAAATCGAATGAGACGCAGTTCAACTTCACCCTAGAAGAGGTACGTCTTTCCTGGCCAGAGTCGTGCAGAGTCCTGCCTCTCATCTCGTCCGACAAAATGGTTTTAGTTTGTATGTAAAGAACCAAAACTCACTTGTAATGTGCACAAGTATGCTGCAGAATCAGACTCTCCATGACTGACTGGCTGACTGCTGGTTTATCTGAAGGCAGGAGGTAATTAGTGGGTGGACCGTGCACCTGCAGCTCGCTCATTTATGCAGGAAACTAGCAATTCTATCATGGGCAGAGCAAATCAAATGTAAAGGATCCAGTGATCTGGAGGGTTGTCACAAAACTCCAGACAGAAATTATTACAAAATACTCAAAAAAAATATTTTGGGCATACTAAGAAATCACTTAAATAGTATTTTTCAGCAGTTAAATAAGGTGGTTGACTTATCATCTAAGGAATATGAATGGACATAAACTTAAATGAAGGATAAACCATTATTTGAATATAACCAATGTGATGCTTTTGACTTTGACCAGAATTCATGACCTTGTCTGTAGTTACAGAAAATAAAGTGAAGGTTTTGAGCTGCATGCATTCAGCTGGGACTGCTGCAAGATAAAGATAAATTCACTGTGAAATAATTCTTTATTAGATTCTTGAAAATGTTTGTTATCTCAATCGTCTGCGTTCACCAACATCCTCACCACACAGAACATCCATGTGCAATGTTTATGTTGGGAAATGACTCCAGCCTCCTCCTCTGAGCTGTTAGCCTCTTACTCAGGAAGTTATCCAGTATTTGTTAAAGTTGCTGAAGTTCAACTAATCAACAGGAACCTGAACGTTGCACCAACTTGAGTGAATACAGAGGCTGATTTGAACTCACCTCTAATGATGTGCAGGCTGATTTATAGTCATCTGTAATGAAAAGATTAAAAAAAGAGTTACTCACACTCAAACAATGAAGATGACTGTTTATGTGCACATACAGTTGCCATTAACGATCAGCAAAGGCAGACACAGCCTTTAATTTATTCATACGACTGTATTGAACAATTGTGCAGGCCACCTTTAAGCAAACCATCAGCAAAAACATGCAAATTGACTGGACAGAAAATATTTGATAAATGCATCCATAAAAATAGAAATAGTCAAAAAAGGATGAATATTCAACACTGATATATTCCTGTAGTGAGTGAATAAATGAATATACCTGCTGTATATTTAAAACTGCCTAAAGGAAACAGGCATCAAACACGTGCCAGAGGGGGCTGTAAGTAATTCTAGTGTCCACAATAACAAACTTTACTTCCTGAATAAAAGAAAATACAAAGCTAAATACTGACATTTTATTCTATTCTGACAATAAACCATGTCATGTGACTACTTTGTAAAAAAAAATACTGCAGCTAAGTTAATGATAAATAAAAATAACTAGTAGTTTTGAAATCTTTTAGTAATGAACTTTTATTTTTATTTTCTAGCATGCGTATCAACTAGTCACCAGAGATATTGATCTGAACAGATAAATATTTGTGAGCTCACAGATTAAAGTGCACTCAGATTGACAGAGCAGCAGATTTTAACACCAACACAAAGTGTAAAATTAAAACGATACACTTTGATCAGATCTGGATTCTTCATAAAATTTAATACTACAGTTATTGTGTGTGAACGTTTATGAAGCATTCACACTAGTGTGATCCAATTTTCTTCCGTAAGTGTTTTGGCGTCCGTCTCGTATTTTTGTGCTATTTAAACAAGTCGTATATCAAAATGTTCAGCTCGTTCAGGAAAAGGGTATCACTTTTAATACTGGTGCAACTTTAGCTTTATGAAATATTTAGCCTTTTCTGCCAGTTTATTTCTCATAGAAAATGAATTGAGCTTATTTTGCATCCTTCACATCTTTAGATCTGTTTACAACCTTTCACTGCTCCTCTCACATTTTGTTCCATTTCAGCTTCTTTCATCTGTCTTGTGCAAATTTAAACTGTTTTTCAGCTACCTTCAGCTAACTTCAGCTGTTTTGTGATCCTTTTAGATTCTTTCTGCTAACTACATTTTTGTGCTTTTTCTAACTTATTTTTGCTAATTTCAGCTTGTTATGTTCCTTTCAGCTTACTTCTGCAAGGTTGCAGCTTTTACTGCTATTTCAGCTACTATTAAGCTGTTTTATGCTAATTTTAGCTTTTTCAGCTAACTATAATTTTTGCACTCATTTAAACTTTTTTCAGCCTACCGGTAATTCTGCAAAAATGTGCTCTCTCCACTTCCTTCTGGTAATTTAAGCTTTTTTCTACTTTTTTAGCTACTTAGATTTTTTTATTTTTTTCAAATTTCAGCTTTTATTTATTTTTAGATAATTTCCACTTTTTTTTTTTGCTTATTTCTGCTTCTTTCAGCCTAATTTGACAAACATTTGTTCTTTCTGATTTCTTCTGCTAATTTAAGCTTGTTCTACCTTTTCAACTACATTTTTGACACGTTTTAGCTAATTTCAGCCGTTTTCAGATAAATTCAAGTTTTCCAATTTTAATTTCTGCTACTTTCAGACAAGTTAACTTATTTTTGCTCATTTCAACTTGTTATGCTCCTTTCAGCTTTTTTCTGATAGTTTCAGCTTTTTTGCACTTTCAGCTCTGTTGATGCTAGTTTTAGCTTTATCAGATAATTCCACATTTTTTTAGCTCATTTCAGCTCTTTTCACTTCCTTCTGGTGGTTTAAGCTTCTTTCTGCCATTTCAGCTACTTTTCCAAATGTTTTTAGCTAATTTCAGCTGTTTTTCAGCAAGTTCTTCTGCATTCACACTGCATTATCACAGGAAATGCAATTTCTAGTTTTCCTTTCACATCAGTCAATTGATAATATGATCACATAATTTATAAAATTGATTACCACACAAAACACTAGTGCAGAATATAAATAACTACGGTACTAACAAACGGGAGACATTCATCCATTTAAACTTGTTTGGAAAGTTTAGCGCTTTTGTTCGTCTAGACATGAAACAGGAAGGTGATCGTCGGGTTCGTGTTTCTCCCGCAGCAGGAAATCATAGTGGACATGTTTTCAGCATTGTGTCGTAAAGCTTTATAGCTTTACATCCACACACCAATATTCTGTAAATCGGCGATGTGTGCTGCAAGATGCAGGGAAAACTTGGGTAACGCCTGACAGTGAAACTAAGATGTGAATATTTGTGACCTGTGCTGGAAAAAAATGTCGGAATGAGCACAGGATGAAATTCAAAATAAGTTGATGTACACTAGATTTGCATAAAAATGAGTGCATAAAGCCACCTTCTAGCAATCCTGGTAACAGAAACAACATCATTTTTTTTCTAATCTACCTTTTAAAATGAAGTTTTCTAACAAGTTTGTCTTCAGAAATAATAAATTATGTTAAAATCCTTATAATTTCCTTTTAAATTGATCATTTTTTTCTGCCAGGTACAGTAGCTCGGGGAATTCCCTTTATGTAATATTTGTAATATATGTGAAGCATAGGCATAAAATAGGGCTCAAATAAATATGCCCACTCAAGTCAAATAAAGATCTGTTTTTCAAACGGGCACTCTTGCAAACAAAACTGAGATGGAGAATTCAAGATAGTCATTCTCCACATAATTTGACGGTTGTTTGTTCTGAAAACACAAGAAACACTGTGAACACTTTTCCTTCAAGCTCCTAGTGAAGTGATCCGTCTGCAGATGGAGCATCTCTCCTGCGTAGCTTGATTGCTCTGGTAGCTGATCACAGCAGCGCCCCGCAGGCCATCTGAATACAGGATATCAGCAGAGATCGTCAAAGCTCAGGGTGGATTTTTCTGGGATTTTGTCAAATCACGCCACCTAGTCCCGGACTCATGTGTAGACCACATGAAGGTTGCATAAGCATTGATTCTCTGATTATTTAGAACCCCTCTTATATCAGCCGCTGGGCTGTGGAGGCTTAATAAGTCTCACATCTCTCTCATCACTGGGTCTAAAAAAACAGGACTGGGACCCAAGCTGTCCCAAAATACCACAGCCTCTAGCCAAAAGACTCTCCCCATAATCTCTAACCTTATTTGCTCTCAGATTTCTACAGTCTGTGCATCCAATCGTCACCTTCTGTTCTATTTTTAGTGGTGTAAAGAAAACTCAGCAGCACGCCTTAAATTAGATTTTTTTTTTCTGTGCGAGTCAAACAGTAAATGTCCCTGAGTAATTAAATAATTCAGGATGAAGAAGCTGAGGATTGAAGGAGGCGCAATAAACAGAGACGATGACGAGGAACAAATGTTCCAGAGAGAAATGGGACAATTTCAGCACTTAAATCTGTGCTGCTGGCCGACACGCCTCTCTCACACCCATCCACCACATCTTTATGGAATGCAGTTTAAATACCACAAGGCACATTGTGAACACCTGTTAACACACCTGAGCTACTGCTCTACAAACAAAAAAAAAGTACAGCCTAAAAAATATTGAATAGTTAGAAAAAGTACTGGTTTCAGTGAAACACCCGAGCTCAAAACGTTTATTAATCTTTAAAAAACTAAATATTTCTGTACTAGCTGTCACGTTGTTGGTTTAAACTATTACTTAGTCATAAGTGGGTGGAACAAAACCAGTTACTGTTGCTGAAAGTTGTTGAAGTGCCAATCCTTCAAATCCAGTTGTCAGGTTATTTGCATGAAAACTAATGGTTTATGAGTCGAGAATGATGTCAGAATATGCAAGCATCTTTGCAATTCTCGTTTTTTCAGTCTAGGGGAAGGAGCTGTAGAAACTTTGGCTGTTCTGCATCAATAAATGAGGCAAGAATCTTCCAGGCTGCTTTACTGATTAAAGCTTGTTGTGTAAAGATTCACCATGTTTCCACCTCCAATCTGTACATTCACTTCTCTTAACAAAATAATGGGCCTGTTACTTGGATATATGACAAATTTTTCCTGGGCTTGAAGCCAGTTTCTCTCTTGGACCATTTGCTCGGACCTGAACTCCATCCAGGTGCTCCACAGTTTGAGCTGATCACGTGGTTTCATGTTTACTTGACCGCTTCAGCCGAACCGTTTGTTATGTAAATATCAGGTTCTGCTGGAGGAACATCCTCCCTCTGTCTGACAATTCATAAAAACAGCTTCCGTGGTCTTGGAGACTCCCAGCTGTTATATAAACGTGTTTTAATACCAATCCCATCTTTTGCGCCTGTCAACAAATCCCCCACATGGCTGGAAGCAGACAGCATCATGGCCTCTTCTAGAGATGCTCATTAGGGCCTGAGAGGAAAACTGTTGGCATTCAGCTGAGATTAACTTTTGTAGTTTGGCTGCTATACGAATCCAGGCTAAGAAATGTTTGGTTTGGGTTGGTTACCTGTGCTGTCTTCAAAGTGGAGCTTTATAGTCCCGTCTCTACTGATCCTCACATTCCCGGGTCCCTCGATCCTCCTCGGATAGTCCACCGCGGAGGCGCCCGGAGACTTGGCGGATCCTTTCCTCCGATATTTCTGCGCTAATGTCCGGCAACACTGATAGCACACAGCCCAGGCCTGCTCCTCGTTTATCGGCTGGCTGTACAGAGTCAGTATTTCATCCAGGCAGACGTCTTCGGGTCCGTCGCCGCCATCGGCGTTAACGTCTCCGGTGTTCAAATCCGCCGTGAAATTCCGAATGATGGTCGGTGAAGTCAACATCCCGTCGTCATTCCCCGGTCGCTTAGCCATTTTTTTTTTTTTTTTTTCAAACCATCTTATTCTCTACACACGAAAAAGAAAAATACAAATAATAAACCTTGAAAATGTATCGGAGTTACTGGACTACATAACCGAGCTCTCCGGCGGCTGTCATTCAAATTGCGCTGTTGGACTGCTGCTGTGCTGGCAACACGTTCCGCGTGGTCTCTGTGTCCGCCGGTTACTTAAAATGACGTACAGGAAATGCGCATACAATTTCCGGTAAGTAATCCAAATTCAAAATAAAAGTGTTATGGTTTCACAAGGTCAAAAACGCAGGCTACGCAGGTCCTCGCAGGATAAATAATCACCTACATTTCCATTTGTGAATTTAACTAGTTTAAATTGAATAAACAATGAGGTAGATACATTTTAGACACTAATAAATGCGACTTCTGCATTATTTGCAGTAAAGTGTCAAAATACATGTTTTTGCTTTTAAAGGACTGGTTCTTTTCTAAATTAATTAAACTAGATACGGTGCTCATGTATTCTTTGAAAGCTGTAAAAAATGTCGTGTTTCTTCCTGATTTATACAAAAAAGAAAATACCAGCCATACAGGCTATAATGATTAAAAATGAAAAGGGACAATCTTACTGCCATTTTTAGGGTTTGAAAAATTATTTGACTCCAACATTTGTTTTTCATCGCCTGATTTACAGCATTTCAACATTATGATTTCAAATCATTAAAAACTCTTGACACAGAAAAAAAAAAAAAAACAGTATGACAGTATGGTCTCCAAGCAGTTGATTAACATTGTCATCTGTAGGTCATGGATTGTAACTTCATCTCCCGAGTTTATTTCATATGTTCATATCCTAATCTCATTTTCTAAACAGCACTTTAGGTTATTTAAAATGGAGCCCCAACCAAGTAATGAATGATATACATACTCGTACATTTCATTTTTCATACTTTTCAGTTGGGCAGCATCTATAAAAAAATCCTTTATTTATTTATTTATTTATTTATTTATTTATTTATTTATTTATTTATTCATTTATTTTATTTAAATTGATCTCAAGTAATTTTCTAATTTTCTGAGATACTAAATTTAGGGTATTCAGTAGTTGTCAGTTATAATCATCAACTTTAAAATATTTGAAATATATCAGTCTGTGTGTAATGACTGAGTACAAGTTTCACTTTTTGAATGGAATTACTGAAATAAATCAACTTTATTCAAAATGTTATGACCAGCACACTTAAAAAAAAATTGCGTACGGTAATTGTGGTGAGGGGACTGTAATTTTATATAGCTTTTATTTCTCGTGTTGCTAGTTCAGCTATCCGAAAATGAAGGCATGTTAATTTTTTTTTTATGTTAAGTACAGACCAAAGCTATGTGAGCTGTGTATTTTTATAGATTTGTTTGTGTACATTGTGTTTTGCCACCAGTTGATAAGCTCCCTGTTAATTCTAAAGTTGTTGTTTTTTTTTAAGGTACTGAAGGTGGACTTTTTTTTATTATTTTTTAGTTTTTGCCACCAGTGTTACGCTACTGTTCTGTTAATCCTTTAAATTGTGTTAAATAAAGAAGATAAATGAAAAATGTAAGGAGTGATTTGTAAACTCTAAGCCAACTGTTTCTAGGACCATGTTTCCTGCTGCACGATGGGTGGTCAAATGAACTATTTCCCTAGCTTCAGTCGCAGTTTTAAAGTACTTTTCATATGCATAGCATAGAAGCAGCATTTTTAGTGCCTATTTAAAATAATAAATATAGTTAGTTGACGTGGAAAAGACGTCAGATAGACGTTGAAACTAGACGTCTTTTAGACGTCGGATTAAGACGTCTATATCATAGACGTTGAAAGTGGACGTCTTTTAGACGTCGGAAAAAGACGTCTATGATATAGACGTCGAAAGTGGACGCCTTTTAGACGTCGGATTAAGACGTCTATATCATAGACGTCGAAAGTGGACGTCTTTTAGACGTCGGAAAAAAGACGTCTATGATATAGACGTCGAAAGTGGACGTCTTTTAGACGTCGGAAAAAGACGTCTATATCAGCATGTCAGATAGACGTTGCAATTAGACGTCTTTTAGACGTCGGGAAAAGACGTCTTCTGGCGTCACAGTCTGCACCTCGGAGGGACCCAATTTAGACGTGCAGAAACGTCTTTAAAAAGACGTTATTTAGACGTCTCCTTGCTCAGTATTATAAATTATGATTGTAAATTGTGTGGTTATAAAACTTATGATTCACTAAGGCACACCTGCACCTGTCTTGGATGTCTATACACCTCCAAGTCCGACGTTCAAACATTCGACTTTATATCGAGGTACAAGTGACGTCATGGTTAGACGTCCAGAGTGGACCTTGTTTGCTCGTCGTGGAGACCTCCAGAATTGGTTTAGACCGACGGACTCAATATAAACGTGATCTGCACATCCATTCGACGTCTAATGTTTAGTGGGAACAAGTTTAATGAACGAGAGCACAGAAGATCCAGTGCCTTAAACGCAAACATTTGTTTTCCATCCCATTTATGGTGCAGCTCAAACACATGTAAACACCTTAATCTCATATGAATCTTCTAAAACTTGACAAGATGCAGTACAGGCATACAGTCAGTATGAAGACAGCAGATTGTTCATGTTTTTCTAATGTTCTGGTCTGCCATGCTTTAAACAGCTGGTCAACATTACCACCTGCTGGTCACAGAGTGGATCATCTCATACTGTTTCACCTCCTGAGTTTATTTCATGTGTTCTGAACAGGCAAAAACAAAACAAAATAAAAGTTTTTAAATGGCTTGCTGCTGATCATTATGAGGCAAAGACAAACCAAGTTAACGTGAGACTGATTTTTACATGCAAGTCACCGTCAGCCTCAAAAATAATGCATTACATTCTCTGTGTAACGAAGTTTATACCAGAAAACAACAAAAACAACAACATAAAGAACTGTCAAACACATCATACGCAACAAGTACATTTAATCAATAAATAAACCAACACTTCAGTTGAAATTAAAATAAATTGTAGGCACATGCAGGTGTGATTGTTTTTTTTTGTTTGTATTTTTAATCTTGCAAACGGCTGGAGAAGACGATTCTTAGCCTCCAAGCTTCAGATATCCAAATCTCAGCTTTTTAAACAGCACTTCAGGTTCTTTTAAATTAAAAATTACTTGCCAAAATGACCGAGGTTAAACAGCATACTTAATGATTTTCACACTAACAACAAAAGAGTGAATAAGTGCACAGAGAACTAAAGCACATACTCAAGGAAGCCCCGACACAGAGCACATTCGATGTGCAGATTGTGATTATCGTGTGCATATAAGGGCCAGTCTCTTCCTTTCAAACGTACTTCATAAAGTTGTGTGAACACAGTGACACATTCCCTGACTGGTGCTTGTAGCATGGGAGAAAAGCATGGCGGCGAGTGTGAACACTTTGTGAGCCACTCTCTTCCTCACACATGCAACATCAATGCAGCATCCAGAGGTCTTTGGATGGAGACGCAAGCAGGCGCTCGTGTTACAAACCGCCAAGAGCCGGGCTCCCGCAAAGTCGCTATAGCAAACATCATCTGCTAATTGTTAAACTGCTTTCAATTCATCTGCATCCTCGTTGTGTTTCAGCCCTCCTTTTCTTTTCATCTCTCGTCACACATGTTTTCTGGTTCGGGATCTCCGCCGCTGCTGATGCTGGCCGACTGGCTGTCCTTTGACAACGAGCTGGCCTCCTTCGATGTCCTCCTTTTGGAGTCACGGGAACTCTGATGGGAACACATTTTCATTTTTAATCATCTGGACCAAAAGTCAGAAGACAAAACTGGACATTAGAGGTCTCAGTCTCAGTAAGCTTTATCATAAGTGGAAGGTTAAAACACAAAATAGTGTTTGTGAGGTTAAGTGGGTGAGTTTAGCAAAAAGTAATTATAAATTTATTTTTTTATGTCTCCTATAAAATGCAATGTAAACAAGTGTTTTGACTTTCCTGTGTTATCCAAGTATTTACAATGTATATGTATTATTATTACTAAATAAACCAGTCTATAGGTCTTTTCAGCTTTTATTTTTTTCTAATTTGTGACACAAATGTTTTGGAAAGGGACAACTATATCAATGGTCATTTTTTAACATAATAGAAAAATAAAACTATTACATTACTGTATTTTTATTCTGTGGTAACATACAGTAAATGTATTACAGGAACACATTTGACAAGCATTAAAAACAAAAGCAGAAATTTCTCTTCATGCAACATGTGAGCGCTGTTCAAATCAACCATTATCATTATAATTATTTAAGAGTTTATATTTAATATAATCAAATGTAAACAAACAACTCTGCCTTCTTAGAATTGATTGATTTTATGGGGTATCTATTGCCTTTCTTCTGTTTTAAATTAGAAACATCTAATGCTTTTGCTCTGGTCTCCCTTCCAACGCAGGTTTCCATCTTCAGTACCTATATCGTATATACCTAATCATATGAACAAAGCACTCAACAACCTAGCTCCATCTTACTATATTTTAAAAATGTTGTTGTTCCACGCTTTCCTAACAGAGAACTTCACTCTCAGACTGCAGGTTTACTCGTGGTTCCTAGAGTTTCTAAAAGTGGAATGGGAGGCAGAGCTTTCTAGGCTCCTCTTTTGTGGAACCAACTTCCAGTTTCTGTCCCTGAGGCTGACACCATGTCTAAGATATTCTTTAAATAAATAAATAAATAAAACTAATCCTACAGTTAGGGTTAGGGTTTATTGGGTTTACTGAGCTATCTCAATGCTGGAGGACGTACTGACCACATTTCCCACTTATTATTTACTCTTTGCTTCATGTTCGTACATAGATTTATTGTTGCCAGTGACCTTTTTACAGTTAGTGCATGCTCAAAGTCAGTATTTTGCAATGCATTGTGGTCCAGATAGTCGCCTACTTCTGGTAGTCTAAACAATGTTCATATGTTACAATATCCGGCAACATTGCAGATTACTATCACAATGCTAACAAAATTAATTTATAAACATGTTTCTACATAAAAGCCAAAGCAAGTGTAAGGGCCCAAAACTATAGAGTAGAACGCCAACTGGAAATAGCGATACTACTATTGAAGCGTGTTGTGCTAGATTTTACACGTGCACACTAAACCCTGACCAAATTATGTGTTTGTCATCTCAACACATAGCCAGCAGATGGTTGTCCATCCTGAGCCTGGTTCTGCTGTGGTTTCCTGTTAAAAGGAGACATTCCTTTCCACTGTCGCCAATATGCAATTAACACAATTTGCTTCCTTCAACAACTAACTTTTACTAAATAGCATTTCATGAAGTACTGTGAATGTACTATAATTTAAATTCATTCACTGTCGTTTGGATTATTTTAATTGGATTTATTATTTGGACTTGTTTTTTATTCTTTGGTACAGAGCCCTGAGATGACTTTTCTTGTGACTTGGTGTTATGTAAACAAGATGAGTTGAATTGAATAGAGACTAGTTGAAGGTTTTAGCTCTCCACTCAACTTTTATCGTCACATTTCTTCTGAAAATGGTCTGCAGAAGAAGCATAAGACTTGTGAGGGGGGTCTCAAGTCAACATGATGAAGGAGCCATCACCTACTTCACTCAGGGTGCGCCTGAGTGCTGAGGGTCTCCTCTGGTGGTTGGAGCCATTGGTGGAGAGGCCCTGCTTCCCACACTGGGTGCCTGTGGTCACCATCCTCTTCTCCCTCAGACTGGCCTCCACAGCTTTACCTTGAAGGGAAAAACATGTCTCAATGAGGGATGATCAGAAGCTGCTGGCTCCCTTATGAAGGTAACTTGGCCTGTAATGAAGAACATTTCATTCCCCTAAGATGGAGAAAAACTTACTGTTTGAAACCGACACAGGGGGCTCTACGTCCGTATTCGTAAGCCATGTCGATTCGGTCTCTCTAGTCCAGCTTTCGTGGTACCTCGGCTCGATGATCGCGTCCGCCCGGCTCCCACCGCAACCCATCGAGAAACGCATCCAGGGTGGCTGAAGCTGCGGCGGGATGCGGGCTTCAAACCCAGCTGGGATCGTCTCAGAAGCGCAGCAGCAGCATCCTTCACGGTGTTTGTGTTCCCATCATCATCATCACCATCGTCATCATCATCATCTGACCAGAAGCGACACACTGGAGAAAGATGTGCGCGCAGGAGGGAGCTCACTCTGGGCGCTGATTGGCTGAGAGGGACGTCAGCTCAAACTGCGGCCAGCATCACCACCACGACCAGCGTCGTCACCATCATGCAATCAGAGTATCCACATCAAGTCTTTTGTCTCTTTTGAGTTGCTGAATTAGATTTTAATGAGGAAACAGGTGCAACACGTGACTCGTTTCGTGAGAGCATCAAAGCAGGAGCTCAGCTGGTCTGAATCATGGAGGTGTGTTGACACAATGCCAAGCTGGAAAGACATCAGCAATTATCTTGGATCATCCCGTGAGAGATGAAATATCCATCCATTATCTTTACCTGCTTCTTCCATTTTGGGTGAGAGATGAAATCTGTCAATCATCTCAGGAGTCCCAGCAAATTCACCCCTTGGTCAGACTGTGCAAAACCAAAAAGAAGAGCAAAAAAAAAAAAAAAAAATCCCAAGAGCTACAACTCAGATTCTACAAGACTCACTTTACTGGGAAAAGTTCAGGAAAAGGCAATTAGAAAACAAAGAACATGATTGTGTGGAAAGGCAGAACGCTTCTTCTTTCTAACGATTGAATACACAAGACTCGTGGAATAAAGTTCTTTGATAAACTCAAATATTGTCCAACATCTCTTCAACATCAGATACGCAGACGTGGTAGCTGCAAGAGAGAAAGGGTCGTTGTGGTACCTGCAGTTGATAATTGAAAGATGTAATAAAAAACCAAAACATTTTGTACTTTTGCATGTTTCCAATTTACTTTGTTTTCCTAGACAATGTACAAAATTAAGTTTTAATGCAACAAACCAATAAAGAAATGACAGAAATATCCAATAGAAATTTCCAAAGCAAATAATCCTAAAATTAAAAATACTTTCTAGTTAAATAAATTGCTTAAAATTGTTTATAAATATATTTATATAAATTAATTTTTACACAAACTGCCTAAGAAGGTTCACAAAATCAAAAAAAAAAAAAGAGAAAATACCAATAATTTTTCACACACAGTATTTATTTTCACATACTTTAAATAGTTATTTTTTATACATACAGTACAATACAGTATTAGCACAGGTTACAATGATGTTGCTTCTCAACGTGCTAAATATCCAGATTATATTTTTTATTCGACTTGTTCTAGTTTTTCACAAGATCACATCATGATAAGGAAAATACATCTACTTGTAAACAGGCATCTCTTACATGGAACTAAAAACACGTTCAAAACATGAACAGAAGCATGTTCACAGATTTTTAAAGCATAAAATAAATACAGTGTTTAATATACAGTTTATTTTCACCATTTCTCTCATATAAGTACCTTTATTGTTAATTTATTTAACATAGAATGGGAGAGGTGACAGTAAAAAGACAGTTTACATGTCCTTTAACGACATGAAGGAATGTCACAATTTCTGGGGCGGAATAAAATGAAAGTCACAAAAATAAAGAAAAACCTTCACGTTTGTTCTGTCAGAACAAAATGGAAAATTTTTTTCTTAAATATTTTGTATGATCTTAAAAAGATCTGACAATTATCACTCTTTTAAAACACAAACCTATTTGGTGTGTGAACTCTAAAATGTACAAGAAAATGTTTAACAGAAAAATTAACGATAAAAACACACACACACAAAACAATAAAACAAGACAGAATTGTAAATAAATTAAAGCTTGTGAATGTGAAGACTTCACATTAGACCACTACAGCATATGATGACGATGATGATCATGATGATAACGATGATGGCAAAATATTTTAGGATTTGAAATCCAGCAAATTTAAGTCGATCTTGTAGTAAACGTACGGGTAGTACTCCTGCTGGCTCAAGTTCAGCCCTGGGATGTCCATGGAGGCCTAGAGGCAGACGACAGGAGTCGTTATTAAATATCAATATGATCACAGTTTTATCAAAAAGTGTAACTAATCACTTTAAAAAACGGTTTCTGCTTAAATAGATAAACAGAAATAAAAAAAAAAACACATGTCGTACTTCAGGATTAATTAAGCTTCAGATCAATTTAATGCGCCAATGCTTTTGTAAAACCAGTTTAAGGATGACATAAGATTTGAATGACAGACTTCTGCCGAACATAAGGAAGTAATTAAACCACTGAATCAGAGAAACAACTAAAATGTGCAGGATGGTGTTCCTCAAGGACCAGGGTTGGGAACCCCTGTTTTAAACAGAGGAATGTTGCTCGGCTTCTGTGTTCAGTTTAAACCTCAGAGATGCTAGAACTGTGATTATCAGTGTCTAAAGTGTGGTCTGAATGTATCATAGAAACAGCTGTGTGTGAATGAGAGTGTGGATGTTGGTGATAATTGTTTTGAGCTCGGTGAAAAGCCCTGGAAGTAGAGTCCAATTAATAGAACCACAGAAGTGTTGATTAAATTAATTATTAGACAACACGGCACAAACCTTACAGAGAGCGACATTTTTCTTTTTGTGCCACACGGACTTCGTGCTATCAAATACAGCAAAGCTGTTGATGAGACTCACGTCAATAATTGCAGCACTGCTGTCCAGATGTTTGTACAGGTCGTACAGCACCTCTCTCAGTTTCTTCATGTTCTTCTTGTTGGGCTGAAGCAACATGGCCTGGATGTTGACCGGCAGCCCGTATCTATTAAAGGAAAAAGGTCCTAAATGAGCCCGTCTGAAGTGAATGCAATAGTTTAGATTTTAAAACGTTAAGTTTTGTAGAAAGATTAGGAGCAATTATTATATTACCTGTTGTAGGTAGCATTTTTGAATGACCTCATTTTGGAGAAATTTAAGTTTAAACTGGGCGGAGGAGGTAACAGCTAATCTGAGCAAAGCCAAACTAAAACGGGTTTGTCGTTCCAAAACAACTCGGATCTCGAACATTTCACAGCAGCTGTTTGCTGCTCGGACTAGCCCACTTTAAACTTCATTTCTCAACAGGAAAGACACTAACTGTTCATAACCTTTCCACAGAAGCTTACCTTTAAAAACACGGCCACATCGTAATGAGATCTCACCTTAACACCGACTCCACAAACACACGCAGAGCTTTTATGTGAATCCACGCGATGAAGGCTTCACTGAAATTCACCTTCAGCCATCGGACCAAAGGACCCTACGATCACAGCAAAACTAGTTTATTTAACTAGGAAAAAACTAAATGTAAAACGTATGCATAAAAATATTTTCATTTTGAAAGGGCAGAGGAAATAGCACACTCAAGTTTATCAGTAACAGCAGCAGAGTTACTGAAATAATAATTAACGCACTGTTTTAAACCAGAAATACAATGAAATAAACTAATATTATTTTGGGGTTAAAGTCTACTAAATTACGTTTACAAGCCAGAGCTCCGTTGATTCAGACTATAGCATTAACACGATCACTGTGTGGTGAGCAGCGCTCTTACAAACTGTTTCTTCTTGTCTGTGGACAAACGATTCATCTCTTCTTTGTCCGCCTTCATCTCTTCCTCGTTGTACTGGAAGTCCCGCACCGAAAACCTGGACCAGAACACATCGCAGTCAGCAACGCAATAACTGCATAGAAGTGTGCATAAAATATATAAATGCATCACAGAGAGAGCCATTTGTCCTAAACCGAGTGGACTGTTGACAGATTTAGGCTCAACGTAAAAAAGAAACCTACTTCAACTCTCATTACTGCTGTTTGTTTGTCTATTGTGGGTGGATTCATGAGGGACAAATCAATATCATTCACTGTACAAACAGAGTCATTGAGAGCAAAGACATTACGTCAAATGCCAAAACCTTCAGCTCAAGTGCAGCAGTGAGCTTTAATTTATTTAAACATGTCTAGTTGATAAATTCAAAGTGTTTACTTGTTTTCTCTGGCCTTGAGTTTGAAGTCATCCACAGCCTTCCTGAAAAGCGTGACACTGAACAGACCGCTGTCGTTGTCTTCGAACAGCAGCCTGCGGAGGATGAGACGTGTTGAGGGGGGAGAGTATGAGCGCTCGATACTCGCTGTGGGGTTGGAAGCATTTCAACAGCTAATAAATAAATGATCATTTTAAACTGTACACCCTGCTCTGCCTTGCTTGATGAAAACGAGCTCATTTAGCGTGAACAGGTCACCACAGCTAATATTTCTGTAAGAAGCTCATTCACCTTCACACAAACTAACAGTGACACGGTGTCAGGTCGCTCAGCTTGTCAAAGGAAATCTTAGATCCGCCGTGTTTGTTTTACCATTCAGTAACGTTAACTGTGTGTGTTCGGGGTGACGCTCAGCTACTACCACAACAAACTTTAGCTCTTTAGCTAACTTTAACTACCGGTACAGTTGTAGCCGTTTTGTGTTCGTTAAAGTCAACTACGTCACCATCTTCAATTGGATGAACTCAAAAAGTTTTTTTTTTTTACCTTTATTTAAACAGGTCGTCTCATCAAGTCACGTGGACTCATTTTCAATAGAGACATATTTTAGACAGAAAACAGAGTACAGAAAACAATATACAACAATAAAAAGCAATTAAAATAAAAAAAAAATAGTGTTATAAAAACACTGTTACTGTTAGCAGCATGGTCCAGTTAGCAAATTGGTCCTGTTAGCAGTGACATCCTGTTAGCAGTGTGGTTTTGTTAGCAGTGACGTTCTCTCAGCAGCACGATCCTGTTAGCAGTGTGGTCCTGTTAGCAGCATGGCCCTGTTAGCAAATTGATTCTGTTAACAGCATGGTCCTGTTAGCAGTGTGGTCCTGTTAGCAGCATGGCCCTGTTAGCAAATTGATTCTGTTAGCAGTG